GTGGAATTCTGAAACTTTGCCAGAATACTACACATCATAAATACTACATCTGGTATGAATTCGAACAATATCGGGGAGGGTCGATTTTGGTCGAATTTTTGTTGCCATGTACTCCCCCACATGGTGAATCCTCATTTTTGGGCACACTTTGGCCCAAAACTCGTAGGGGGCTCAGGTTTATCTTTTATCTCAAAACAGTTTCTGATGTATTTTTTAATGTAAAACCTAAATTTTATGTTTAATTTTATAAAATAATGGAGATTTTTTCCAGGACGGTTATTTTTTGGTCCAAAAAATTGCTTTTTTGCAAAAAATAAAAAATTTTCCAGGGAAAATGGAAGAATATAAATATAGTGCCAATACAAAAAATGTTCAAAATAGTGCTCAAAAACGTCTACAATAAAACCTAACCCTTATTTCACTTTTGAAAAAAAATTTTTAGACTCCCCACGACCATATTTTTGCAGGTGTGGGACAAGTCGGGACATACTATATCTCATATACCTTAGAAGTCTATATATGAAAAATAAGCCAGAAAAAACAAGTTTGAATTTTTCTGTACAGCACTGTTTTTGGTTCTGTCGGAGAATGTGTCTTAAACGAAAACACCCTAAAATATTTTTAGAGTCCATTGGTTACTGTAGGACATCGCGATTGAACTCAAATTGCAGTATGATCAACTGATTTTTATGCTTGTGACTTTTATTCTCGTGAGATTTAGCAATTTCCGGGTTGTCTGAACATCCGGATCCCATGACTGAGCATCCGGATTCAATATGGATTCCGTATTGAATGCACTTTTTTAGCAATTTTTCCTCAGAACCGCTGGAGATAAAAACTTTTGGAAAACGACGACGGATTTTCCAAGACTTTTCATTTGATAAATCAGTGCTTGAAACGCAACTCCTCCGGCTTCTCCAGATCCAAATTTTCCACACGAGGAATAATTGAAGTTTCAGAATTTCTTTAAGTTTTTTTTTGTGAAATACTTCTTAATTAATAGCCCTCCCTTTTTTGTGAGTTTGGTATTTCACAAAACAATTATTTTTGTAATGTTTGAAAAAGACAATAAAAAATAGAAAATCCCGTTACTTTAAAAACTTGAGAAAAACAACACGTGTGGTGTAAGAAAACCCAAACTTTTTCTTCATCTTTCAAGACTCGGCAATAGACTTTTTTCTGTGGAACTCAAGAGTTCTTTTTTTTCTTGACTATGCAGCAGTGAGGAACCTCACATAACGTTCGACGTGTCGTGAAGAAAACGGCAGATGTTAAGTCTGAGGAGGTATATCAACTGAAGCCAACTGGCTGTTCGCAAAATCCTTGTCCTTTTTATTTAGTTCTCAAATCTCACGTTCATTTCAACTATACTTTTTTCCTGTTCTCTTTTTGTGAGTGAGCTTTATTTTGCATTTGAATGCCAAAAATATGAAACGTCAAAAGACATCAAAGAGACTGTATATAAAATGAATGGCTTTTTTACTTCATTTACATTCTCCCTCTGCGTTGTTTCTTTTTTTGTCAGTTTTTACAATGTTTGCAGTTTCTGCTTTCATGGGTTTCAACCGCGTTGCTTTTGAAAAAATTCTCAGCTTTTGTGAACACATGCCAAATAGAACCTTGGAAAAGTCAAATTGACTTTTTTACTACTCCTCGCTTTTTGTATTTTATTAATAAGAGCTTCATTTTTTATCATTTTTTATATTTATAAGAGCTTCATTATTTTATTAATAAGAGCTTCCAGAAAAATCATGGATATTCCGAATTTTGACTTCGAAGCTCTCATGGAAAAGGAAGATGAAATGAGTCCGGAAGAAGAAGAAAAACAAAGAAAAGAGGCGATGAAAAAAGAAAAAGAAGAAAGGGAACAGGCGAAGAGTCTAAAAAGGAAAAAAATGGAAGAATCGGAAGAAGAAGAAAGGAAAAGACGCAAGAGAGTCCGTGGTCAGTGTTAGGAAAAAATGAACTAGTAAATCTTGAAAATTGGTTTCAAAACCATAAAATCTGACCGGAAAAGTCATCAAAAGTTACGAAAAATGTTATAAATATTTGTTGGAGAAAAATGAGCAACATTGATAGAAAATTATGAAAATTGACGGAAAACGAAAATAATCTGACTTGAAAATTTTAACAAAGTTTTTGTTGGTTATTGAGTTTTCAGAATTCAAACAAATTCAATTTTGATGATTCTAAAAATCCATAAAATTGGTCTGAAAATTATTTTGAAAATTGATTGAAAAATCAAGAATAATTGATTTAAAACTCTAGGACAATTGGCTGAAAAATTTAGAAAATTTGGTTTGAAAATCTTTTTAAAAAATAGGGTTAAAAGTTTGGAAAAAAACAAAACTCAAAAAAAAAACTTACTGATTATTTTCTTCCAAAAAGAACCATTGAATTTTTAGATTAAAAAAAACAAGTTCTCCAATTTTGAAATAACATTTTTCAGAAGAACTCCGTCCAAAATCTCTGAAAGCTTCTTTGAAACAAGAAGGGTTCTTCCCAGATCCCTCTAAAAAAGATCGATTCGCCAAGATGGTGGACAAAATTGTCGACTATTTTGAAGACGGAAGTGAAGATTTCGTGGAGGAAATGAAGAAAATTGAGAGTTCGTTTATTTTTTGAATTATGAAATATCTAAATTTTCAAACTTCAGTTTCTTGAAATTGAAGAAAATTAGTTTCCGAATTTCTGAATTTTTGATTTTCTGAATTTCTGAATTTCAGAATTTTAGAATTTTTGAATTTCTGAATTTTAGAATTTCAGAACTTCTGAATTTCTGAATTTCTAAATTTCTGAATTTCTGAATTTCTGAATTCCTGAATTTCTGAATTTCTGAACTTCTGAATTTCTGAATTTCTGAATTTCTGAATTTCTGAATTTTAGAATTTAATAGTTTCAGAATTTAAAAATAACAGAATTTTAAAATTTTAGAATTCAATAACTTCTGATTTTAAAATTCCAGAATTTCGGAAAATAAGCAACTCTTCGAAAATCGAAAAAATTGGATTCACTTGAAGATTTTGCCAAACAGGAATTAAGAATCGATTCGAAAATCTGACAGTGCTAGATTTTCGATTTTCCCATTTTCAGACATTTTTCAAATATGAAAATAACAAATTTTTCCGCAAAAAATACATTGAAAAAACTGTGGAATTCGATAGTAAAAATAAAATCGTTTTTAGATTTCAAGGCATTGATGCAATTTCTCTTCGAAAAGCACAAGACATTAGAACTGTGGAAAACGATTGATGAGAAAGTTGAGATTCACGATTGGCTTGATTTTTTTGAAGAAAGTGTGATCAAATCACTACGAAGGATGACAAACATTCCTGAAGAAGTGGACATTGAAATTGGAGAAATATTTGTAAAATTACAAGTCAAAACAATTCGCGTTGCCGTATCCGCGTTTGATGTAAACGCATTTGCGGAAAAAGCAGCAAAAATGAGAGAGCCTTGGCATTTTCATTTTTAAGAATAAAGTCTATTTTTTTCAGTGATGTTTCAAAGAAAATCCCTTGATTTGATTGTAATTCTTTAGATCCGATTCTCTTTATCTAGATTTTTATTTTACTGTACTTTTTTCTTCCGAACCTAATAAACTTGTAGCTGTTTAGAAGACGTGTTCCATTATGTATTTCAGGTATAAAATACTAAACCTCAGAAGATGTCCCACTTGCATCATCAAATACCGGTTATTAGCACTGTCAGACTTGTAAAATTGTAAACTTTGATTTTCAGACAATTCTGGTTCGATAACGCGTTCTTTCAATTGGGGTGAATAAGAAAATTTTTTAAAAAATTTATACAAAATAAATCTTGCGCGCATCACAAACTCATTTAGTGAATGCACTAGTGGTTCTGATCACTTCGCGTTCTCGCTTTATCCATCTCATTATTTTTCTTCTAAAAGGAGTCACAAAGTACACGGAGACCAATGGATCAATGATAGCAGGAAGTGCGGGCACAAGAGTCAAATGAAATTCCAGAAATAACACTTCTCTTCCGGTGATTAAGCAATAATAGTAAAGCGTATAAATCGGGACGTAGAAAATATATGGCAACGAACATTGAACGGATAGTCCCTGGAAAATGTTTTTTTGTGGGCAAAATAAAAATAAATTAATTACCATGATAAAACTTTTGTACAAGTTTTGCCGAGGAGCTGACATGTTTTCAAGTTGGAGGTAAATTTGACTCAACGTTTTTCTGAACTGGTTTTATTTTCAAACAAACCAAAACGGTTAATGCGCCAACTTTGTACCCGCATATCTCTATTTAGATATCAAAGAACGGTCAAATGATCTAATTTTTATCATATTATTAGAAATGTTTTGCCAGTTGACCACGTTTTGATACCGGTTACACAAACCAAGATATTTAGGCTCAAAGTTGGATGTTCAAGTGACCTTCTATTAGAGTGCATACGGTAATTTTTGACTCACTTTCTACAGTAATAACACATAATTGGTATCACTATTATACAAGATGTGAATATCATAAGATTCAATGTGTTTGGCCATTTTGAGAAACTCAGAGAGGCAATCGCTAGATAATCTGCATTAGCGTAAAGAAAATAATTGAGTAGATGAAGTTGTTCCTCAGATTCCCAGCTCAAAGTTTGGGTTTTAATAATGATAATTACGAGGATCTGAAAGTTTCAATCTGTTTTCAGCTTAACAAGGCAACCTCAACACCTCGTGAATTCAGATTTTGATGAAAATGAATTGCTTGTTAGTGCAAAAAACAATTTTCAAAGACGATTTTCTCAAGTTCTATGACATTTTAGAACCAGAAATGTTGAGAAAATCGTCTTCGAAAATCGCTTTTTTACACTGAAAAGGCGATTTTTGATACTGAAACTAACATAAATCGGCTGCAACTGGCGAGTCGATTCTAATATTTTTAGAAGTGTTTAGAGAGTTTATTGTTAACCTTTCCCAAAATTTTCACCAAAATTTACAAGGTGTGGAGTTTTCCTTGTAAAATCAAAAATTAAGTACCAAAGACAAGAAGAAAGGGCAGAAAAACATTGCATAAGTCTTGATTATTTCCAATTTAGTCAATTGAACCCCTTTCACCATTCTATATTTCAAATAAAACGTTCCATAGATTGTGAGTCCACTTGCCATCGCACTCATCTGTGAAAACCCATTATTGGATACTTAAAACACCCGCTCACCTGCTCTGTTTGATAGAAACAATAACAAATCCAAGGCTCAAAATGTCTACACACGCCATAGCTCCACATCTCAATTGGTTTTTTTGTAGTGACAAATCTAACTTGAACGAAGAATGCAGAAAATGCTAGAATGATTTGAAAAATACAAGTCAGCCCAAGAATAATTCTTAGCATGTGAATGCTTTTTGGGGAGTGTTTAATGATAAGGAACATTAGAAATAATTGAGCAATTAGGGTTATTACAAAAAATATTGGATAGAAAATTGATAGAATTGTTTTATACTCTTCAGCCAACATTTTTGTTATATACTGATGAAATAATGATGAGATACTGATAAGCAACGTATAGTGAGAATGACAAAAATCTTATGAGAAGAGGATAATGCTCATTGAATTGGAAACACGTATGCTTTTCGTATCTGCGAATTTCGAAGAATTCAGCTTCTACGAACCAAAGCATAATATGTGATTTTAGTGGTGGTTGTTTTTGCTCATGCTTGGTTTTATTAATAAAAATAGAATACATTTGTGGAGTGGGAAGAAATTGAATTGGGGAGAGGGGGAGAGAGGGAAGAAAGTCTACTGGACATTTTAATAAAAATTGGAAGTTGGCAGGAAAGAAAAAACGTTAAATTTTGAATAATAAATGAAACACTACAAGGGGAGATGAAGGGTTAGGGTGGAAATGGGGTTGTTTGAGAAGACACGTGAACTCTCACTGATTGATATTTACTCAAAATAAAATGTTGGATTGCTCAGGAATAAACTATCCGGAACAATCAAAATTCTTATGAGCAATCTAGTGTGAGTGGGGAAAGAAGGAAAGGAAGAAAAAGAAAAAAAATTGTCAAAGTATTTCAATCAATCATTTGCTTTGAAATTGGCACAAAAGTACCACAGGGATGTTCGGAACGGAATTGGAAAATTTCAAAAAATTCCAAAAATTACGAAATTCCAAAAACGGAATATTCTGAGATTCCAACATTCTGATATTTTCAAAATTGAATAATTTCGAAATTGCAAAATTTTCAAAACCGAATTATTCTAAGATTCCAAAAATTCCAAAAAATTTCAAAATCAGAATATTCTGAAACTCAGAAATTTTCAAATCGAAAAATTTTTGAAACCCCAAATTTTTAAAAACGTAGTATTCCGAGATTTCAAAAATTCGAAAATTACCATATCGGAATATTCCAAAATTCCAAAAGTTTGAGAATTTGGAATATACGAAAATTTTCAAAATTTTAAAATTAGAATAATGCGAGATTCCAAAATTTCGAAATTTTTACAATGGGAATATTCCGAATCTTCAAAAATTCTGAAATTTTCGAAATCGGAAATTTCCGAAATTTCGAAATTCAAAAAATCAGAAAAACCGAAAATCTGAAATTTTCAAAATCGGAATACTTTGAATTTTTAAAAATTACGAAATTTTTAAAATCGTAACATTCCGAGATTCCAAAACTAGAAATTTTCAAATTTAGAATATTCCGTAATTTTCAAAGTTGGAACACTCCTAAATTCCGGAATTTTCAAAATTTTTATTCTGAAATTCCGAAGTAACGAAATTCCGATATTTCGAAAATCGGAATTTCGGCATTCCGAAAAGTTCCGAACATGCCATTCCGCAGGTGGCTGTAAAAATTGCAATAAAATCTCACTCAAGTCAAATTCCTCATTCATCACTTTTTAAGAAGATGAATCTGAGAAGCACTCGAAATAAAATTGATGACATCAAAATGGGACAGCGGAATCTAAAAAACACGAACATCAAACATTTAAGTGAAAGATCTTGTGACACTCATAAGATTGTTCGAGTTAACCACTCTCGGCTTTCTGAGTCCAACCCAAGTCAGGATTCTATTCCGGAACGGGACCATGAAGGTCAACGTGAGGAATGGGTCAATGAGAGCTGGAGTGGTTGGCATTAGGTAGATTCCGTACTGTTGGAAGAGCATTTCGGTTCCTAGAATTATATTAGTCATCCAAATCTTCGAAATTCAATGATTAACAAACCTGTGAGGACACAATGAACGTAGAGAACAAAGGTCGGGAAGTAAGTGAGAACCGGGAGCAACGATTGGAGGCAGAGACCCTGAAAATATTTATACTAAGAATCCCTCTCCTCCTTTTTTATATGTTTGAACTCTGGAACTCACGGCAATGAAGGAACGATGTTCCGCTTTTCCAGTTTTCGAAAGAACGTGACGGTTGAGCAAGAACAGAGTGCGCCTGAAAATATGAAAACAACGTGAAAAACTGAAAAATTCTGCAAACGAACGCTGCGATGAAGAAACTAGCAATAGGGTACACAAAAACTGCTCCGACCATGATGATGAAATTAATCAGGCTGACAGTTTGAAGTCGAAGAGTTCCAGTTACAGAATAGAGAGACACATCAATGTTTCGGAGAGCAAGAGCTTGTTGAATTTCCGCTGGAAGTGCCGCAGTGATAACCAAGTAAACTTCGAGACCCTGAAATAGAATAAAACTGCCGTAAATGCTTTCATAGAAAACGCTCTTTGTTTTTTTTTTGTTTTTTTAACTTGTTTTTTTTTCACTGACTTGAAATTAATACTGCAATGTTGATGGATGATCATGCAATCTCATACCTTGATTGATTTGAATTTCGAATAAATCGTGAAAGAAAAAAGAAAACATTCAAGTGAAGTTAGAAGAAATGTCGAAAAACGAAAAGAAAAGAGAAGAGAAAAAAATTGGATAATTTTTTTCAGAAATTCACAAAATTTTGTCCAAAAAAATGATTGCATATGTGAACATAATTTTGTTCAAAAAAGAACTGAAACTCTATAAAAACCCATAATCAGTACTGCTCAATAAATTATCCAAAAAAATATTTTTCAGTTGATTTTCCACCCTTTTGACCATTTGCAGAAGTATGGAACTGGGTTGTCAAGTTTCCAATCAATTAAAAAACTTAGGAGAGTTTTAAACAGACTTAGACTAAAAAATTAGATTCACAGAATTTTTCGAAAATTCCTTGTTTTTCAAATATTTGCTGGTTTCTGAAAGACACATTTTTTTTTTCGTTTTATATCAAAAACCTGAAAGAATGCAGGAATCCAACCAGCTAGAAAGCCAGGATTTTTCAAAGTTTTCGAATGCAAAGTTTTCAATATAGGTATGTTTTCTAAACTTCAAAATTTTCAAAGTGGTCTAAAGTTTGAGAGCCGAGCTCCAGTCTCCTGAGAATAGTCAAAATTTCCGAAAATCGACTAAAAATATGTTTTTGTGTATTAAATCAACCGGTACTCTAGTTTCAAACATTAGGGTTTTTTGCGAAGTTCATAAGCGGGCAAATATTTTTTACCAAAGCTAAAATTCCAACTAACTCCCTTGTTTTTCAACTATTCCCTCTTACCAGAACCTTTCCCTAACTCACCCCAGAGAAAACGACTGGAATATGAAAGATGCAAAAAGCGATGAACATCGGCCACTTCTTGGCAAACATTGCATTAACAGTCATCAACTTGAAGAAGAGGGTGACAATGATCGTCATTCCGCTCATGAACATGAAGAATTGCCAGGCCTGATGAAGAGTATACGTGTAGATTGCTTTGACAAATCGAAGTGGTCCATAGACGCGCACCTCCACTGGAACGTGAGATGAAATCATCCGAAATTGGCAGGACATTGTGATGAAGAGAAGAATGAGTTGACAAATCGATGTGTGAGCGAGCATGATCCGAAATGGGGCCGACATCTTTCCAGCAAAGAATATGATGAAATACAGGACGATGAATTGCATGATCAGTGTAGCAAAGAAGAAGGCTGGACAGTAAATGTCCAGAAAGTCTCGATAGTCCTGCTCCAACGACGACATTCTTCCAGAATGGAAGGGAATGTGCGACGGAAAGGTGTTGGATATGGACTGACTGAGTTTGGGAGAAAGCTTTTAGGTTTATATAACCTCCGAAAAGCCGATTCACTTGATTGAATTTGAAGTAACAGGAAAAACGGTGCAGAAAAATGTGACTTTGGCGCAATTTAGTTTTTCGGCCTGTTTTTTGCTTGTTGCGCACGCAATATCCAGGAAGTTGGAGTACAGAAAAAAGAGTTTTATTGGGTCATGGGATAGAGTCTTTGATCTCGACTACAAATCCTTTGTGTAGTATGGAATAGTATAGTAAAGAAATATCAGAAAAATACTAATGTTAATATGGTTGAATAAGTTTTGGCTCTTTTTCTTTTCAGATAATGATGAACTCAGTCACAGATGGGTGGCGTTGCCGCAGAGATGGTGTGCAGTTGTAGGAAATAAAAAGATTCGGAATCCCGAGATGTTTCTGTTGAATTTCAGAAATGTTGGTTCAATGATATAGATATATGATTCGAGAAAAAAAAGAAAAAATCAGAAAGACAGATCCCACGCCCTCTGTGAATTATTGGATAATTACTTTTGGAATCATTTTTTCTCATTTAAAGTTAAATAATTGTCCGTGGGTACTGCATCAAAGTTCGCTGAAGGTCAAACAACATCAAACCAGCGTAGATCGGAAAAAGAAGTTTAGGCTCATAGCGGGACAAGGATGTTCCGATTGGCTTTTTCGGAACTATTCGGAATGTTGAATTTTTTTGGAATTGATTTTAAAATCTTCGAAACGTGAAATTTTCCGAATAATCCAATTTTCGAAAAATCTCGGAATTTCGAAATCTCGAAAGATCCAAGTTTCAAAAATTTAGGAATTTCGGACTCTCGGATTATTCTCATTCTGAAATTTTTAGGAATATTGGAATATAGGAATATTCCAATTTTTACCATTTCATGAGTATTGGAATTAGCAAAATCCCATGTCCCCATAACAAAAGCAAGAAAAATTAGAAAACTTTTTTTGGAAACGCGAAAAATAAAAATAGTAACTCTTCTTGAGACCCACAAGGAAACGTTTCGCGTGCGACTGTGGCATACCGTATTCCAAAAAACTCTAATTAAGAAAAAAACAGCTGTGGAAAAAATCCAATGAGAATTTGATTCCGAAAAAAAGCTTCGGAAATACTCCGATTTTTCAAAAATTTCAATCCGAATCGGTAATAAATTTTGGAATTTTAGAATTTCTGAATTCCGTTCAGAACATCCCTGTAAAGCGAAAACGACAGAACGAGCTGAAGAATTACTAGTCATTTTGTCTGTTGAATGTCTGTTTTTATCTGTTTCATCATCAAGAGAAGTTGTTTCAATCATACTTGTAATGGGCCGGACCGGGCTTTTTCCGGAATTTCGGAGGTCCGGCCCGGTCCGGCGGGCCTGTCATTTCACTAGTTTCGAAATTTTCAAAAAATACATAAGGGGGGACCCTTATGTGATTTTTTTCGACCAAAAAATTTTTTTTCGAGTTTTTTCGATCTTTTTTGATCAGACAGACAAACAATCCGAAATACGAAAAAAAATGGAAAAAATTATATTGAGAGCGCTTGGCTCAAAAATACAGAATTTTGACACCGGGCCCGGGCCTTGAAAATTTCCTCAGGCCCGGCCCGGAATTTTACATGTATGGTTTCAATCATTTATTGAATGATTTATTTAAAAGTTCAAACATCAATAAAAATTTCAACATATTTATTAGCTTCTGTTTGAGTCGCTGATTCTGCAATGACGAGGACAGGAACCGGTGTTCGGCTCGATTACGGGGTCAATTTCGATTGGTTCCGGACAGCAGCCCGTTCTTTGGACCTTTATCCTTTGTAGGGAAGATAAACCGGAGCCAAAGGTAGATACAGTGTCGTTGAAGAGGCTGATGTTGATGCTACATCAATTGCGGAGTAACTGAAATTTTGAGTTGATTGAGAATCACTACAGTGCGCGTCATAATTATAGAAAACCCCTCCCAAATGAGTGTTCTGGAAAATCCAAGAAAGATAGCTGAATTCTGTCATTGAAGTTAGATTCAGCATGTAGAAAAACTTACGTCTACAAATGTTCAAGCCAATTGAGCCATTTTTGAGCTCACAGGGCGCAAAATTCACTTTTTACGCCGCGTCATAATTATAGGACCCCCCTGGAAAATGAAAAATATCAAATTTTTTAGAGAAAAAAATTGAAATTTTTTCGTTGGAAATAGTTAAATTAGTCTTGAAATAGCCTGTTCTAACGTTTTACACAATTTTTGATTACTCTAATCGAGTTTCAGAAAAATTTATTTCAGACATTTTCGGGATTTTTAAGGTTTTTGGAATAAATCGTGAATAACTTTGCTCCTAGGTGAAATGTTTTGCTGAAATATACAGGGAGCATTTTGACAATGCTCATGATCATGTTCTAAGTGTTCAACGCATCTCTGAGCTCCGGCAGCTCAGAATTGAGCTCACGTTTTGAACTCAAAAAGTATACCCAACTGAAAAATTTTCAAAGCTGTAAAAAATGTTCGGAAGATGTTCTGAGTTATCAAAATTGCTATTAAAATTAATTACTTGCACAGAAGAATAATTTTTAAACCTTTGGAACATTTTTTACAGCTTCGAAAATGTTTCAGTTGGGTATACTTTTTTCAATTCAAAGCGCGAGCTCAATGTTGAGCTGCCGGAGCTCAGATATGCGTTGAACACTTACAACACGATTATGTGCATTGTTAAAATGTTCCCTGCAAATTTCAGGGAAAAATTTCCCCTAGCAGCAAAGTTATTCACGATTTATTCCAAAACCCATAAAATCCCGAAAATGTCTGAAAATAAATTTTTCTGAAACTCGATTAGAGTAATCAAAATTTGTGTAAAACGTCAGAATAGGCTATTTCAAGACTAATTTAACTATTTCCAACAAAAATATTTCAATTTTTTCTCAAAAAAAACTTGAGGTTTTTCATTTTCCAGGGGGGTCCTATAATTATGACGCGGCCTAAAAAGTGAATTTTGAGTCCTCTGAGCTCAAAAATGGCTCAATTGCTTTGAAAATTTGTAGACGTAGGTTTTTCTACACGCTGAATCTAACTGCGATGACAGAATTCAGCTGTCTTTCTTGATTTTAACACTCATTTGGGAAGGGGGTCCTAATGACGCGCACTGTAACGACGCGCACTGTAAGTGACGACTTTTAAAGTTTTGTCTGAAATTGTTGGATTTTTCAGTTTTCCAGGATGCTTGAAACTTATTTTTCCTTCAGTTTAATAGAGCAAATTTGTTTCAGCTTTTCATATTCTCCTTCGTCGAGAAGATGGTGTGCATTTTTTGCTTCTTTGTACAGTTCTTTATGACGTTATCTCCATCTTCGTACATCATTTTCGGCAACTCGAAAATCTCTCAAACGTCTTCTGAATCCGACTTCTGCCTTTTTTCGAATTTATCATTACCCGCCTCTAACTCAGCCCACAAACTTTCTCAAAATATTTTATCCATGGCTTCTGAATGTGGAACGTCATTTTCGAGATTTTGCCTTCTATGATGTCGACGTCGGGAATTTTGACGCCGTCAATCTCGATACCTATTTCTTTGTGATGTGGATATGGACGGAATTTGATTGGAGATTTCTGGAAAAAGAAAAATGTAGACGTCTTATTTTTTCATAAACTTTCGACTAATTTTAACAAAGGTGTTATTCTAACAAGGTACAGAAGTCCTAATAATTGATTTTTCTGAATTTTGACGCTCAAAACGGAAATGTGACAAAAACTTAGACTTGAAGGTTAAAAATTGTCAAAAATCATTTTTAATCGTTTTTCATTTTTATTGCAATTTTTTCTATGTATCCAACGCATTCGCTCTTTTTGGTCGCCCTACGCATTTCAAAACAGTAATCTAGATCAATCTAGACAGGGACTGAGAGAACAAATTTTGCTATGTAATAGATTCTTTGCGTCATCATCACTTACTTAGGACGGAAGGAAGATTTATAACGTATTGGTTTTCCTGGTTCACCATTTATTTTGTTGTCATTTTGAGATAAAATGGGAGATTACGGAGACTATGACGGAATCAGAATGTGAAATCTACGCAAATACCTTATTTGCGTTATTTTTCACTAGAGGAATACGCTTTGCTATTATTATGGGGCAAAACGGAGAAGAAAAATTTTTAATTTTAAATTGTACAGTGATATGATTCTTCAAATTAGGTTTGTCTTGACATCGTCTTTTTCAAGTTTAGAATTTTTTTTTGAAAAAATTTTCTGGCTATTACAATATTTGTTATTTTTTCACTCCCAGAAATGCTGGATCTATACTAATGAATATTTGTTGAATTTTCGAATTTGTCAGGAACAGTTGAATCACATTAAAGTCTTCGTTCCCTATTTTCCTTACTGTTTTTGATAATGTACTAAACCGCAGGAATGTTATTATGTATCTGTTGATACTTCTTCACTAACCTTGAACGCGAATCGATAAAATAGAATAGATAGTAAGAAATACCAGAAAAATCAAAACAAATAAATTAGACGTCCATTCAGTCAGGTCGTCATAGAGAAAGACTGAAGAAAACGAAGTCTGATGGCCGACGGTCACATCATTCTCCGCCCACTTTTAAATGATCATCTAGTTGAAAAGGGTAAAGAAACCCTACATGATAGATTAATAGAAATTGCAAAAGATAGATCAACGGAAATTAAAAGAGAGATTAACGGGAAAGAGAGATTAACCGTGAACGAAAGAGAGATAAACGAAAATCCCACAATTTTAAAGAATTGCGAACGAGGAAACACTACATGTTTAATGAAAGATTAACGGTTACAATAGATTACAAAAGAAACATTAAAGGAAATTAAAATAGAGATTAACGGGAATTAAAAAATATTAACGAAATTTGCGAGATTTAAAAACGTGTTGGGGAGGAAACAATATTCTTCGTTAGGAGGTGAACCAAGAAGATGAAGCAACAAAATTTCCGGGAAAATCG